TCGAAGTACAAGTATAAGTACCAAGTACTTTTCTTAAAGTATAAGTACAAGTATCAAGTACATTTTTGCAAGTACAAGTATAATACTTTTACTTGAGGTACTTGTACTTGTCCTAGCCCTGTCTCTGATTGTTCACAGTTATGTGCCTTTTAGCAGTTCAACATAAGTGATAGAGACAAAAACCTTAGATTAGTGTTTAGACTGACCAGATTTATTTACAGAAAGTTTGTAAGTGAGAGCCAAATGTTATTTATATTAGGTTCTATATAGCCATGGTATCTAACTTGTTGAATGCCCTATCGAATATATTAGCTCGTCTTGTATTTCAGTGTAACACTTTTGTTTTAGTTACCCATTGAAAGTCAGATGATATCGAAAATCGTTGATCATTTAAATGCTGAAATTGTCTTGGGTACCGTTCAGAATGCACGTGAAGCTGCTGAATGGCTTAGTTTTACTTATTTATATGTTCGAATGATTAAAGAGCCTCAATTGTACGGTGTTTCAAATGATCAATTATTAGTAGATAAATTTTTATTACAACGTCGTATTGATCTTATTCATACAGCCGCTATTCAATTAGATAAATCTCATTTGATACGTTATGATCGTAAAACGGGTAATTTTCAATTGACTGAAAATGGTCGTATTGCTAGTCATTATTATTGTACCCATGAAACAATGGCAATGTATAATCAATTACTCAAACCAACATTGTCAGAAATTGAATTATTTCGTGTTTTTTCATTATCATCAGAATTTCGTAATATATCAGTGAGAGAAGAAGAAAAATTAGAATTACAAAAATTACTTGAACGTGTACCAATACCAATAAAAGAAAGTATTGAAGAACCAAGTGCAAAAATTAATGTTTTATTACAAGCGTTTATATCACAATTGAAATTAGATGGTTTTGCTTTAATGTCTGACATGGTTTATATAACACAAAGTGCCGGACGTTTAATGAGAGCTATTTTTGAAATTGTATTACAACGAGGTTGGGCGCAATTAGTCGATAAAACATTGAGTTTATCAAAAATGATTGATAAAAGAATGTAAGTTAGAGTTCATGAATCTAAATTAAACTGTACAACATTTTTTTATCGTTTTGTTTAGGTGGCAAAGTATGTGTCCATTAAGACAATTTCGTAAACTTCCCGATGAAGTCATACGCAAAATTGAAAAGAAAAATATCGCATGGGAGAGATTTTATGATTTGGGTACACATGAAATAGGTAAGAATTTATTTTTAAATATTATCAAATGTTTTTTTTAATGATAGCTGAAATTGACACAATAGTCTATCAACTAATTCTGAAAAAGAAAACTCCGATCATCAATGAGGATTTTTCTAAAATCTGTCGGATTCTATAGCGCAGTATAAGTTCAAAATGTACGATTTTATCGAGAGTACCGTTTGGTAATTCGATTATGCAATTTCGATGTGGCGCTAAGTGATTAGAGAAAAATGTAGCGTGATAAAATCTATATCGGAATACTTCAGAACATATTTTGAAATCAGTCGTTCATCCCTATCGAAACTTTTAGACTCTATAATAGTAAAGACGTCTATTTCCATTGAAATTGAAAATTTATAGTTCGTGTTCATCGTGTTCAGTTCTGTTAGTTCATTGCAAATTTTTATTTCGTAGGTGAATTGGTACGTGCACCAAAAGTTGGTAAAACAATCCACAAATATATTCATCATATACCGAAATTAGAATTAGCTGTGCACGTCTTGCCAATAACACGTCAAACATTGAAAGTTGAATTAACAATTAAGCCCGATTTTCAATGGGATGATAAAATACATGGAATGGCTGAAGTAAGTTATTATTAAGATAAATAAAATTCTATTCCTTTTTAATGTTAACTTAAAATTTAGGCATTTTGGATTCTTGTTGAAGATGTGGATTCAGAAGTCTTATTACATCATGAATATTTTCTTCTTAAAAAGTAAGTTTATTTCTATGTTAAATGTCATATTTTTTCATTATTTTCTCATTTAATAGAAAATATTGTGAAGATGAACATTATGTCAAATTTTTTGTACCTGTTTTTGAACCATTACCACCACAATATTTTATTCGTGTCGTATCAGATAAATGGATTGGTAAGTAAATTAATTTTGTTTTTATTTAATTATAATTGTTGAATGAAATATTTTTGTTTTTTTTTCTATTTTCTAGCATCTGAAACTCAAGTAGCTGTTTCATTTCGACATTTAATATTGCCAGAAAAACATCCATCACCAACCGAATTACTTGATTTACAACCATTGCCTGTTAATGCATTAAGAAATTCGAAATATGAAGAATTATATAATTTTGAATTTTTTAATGGTATACAAACACAAGGTAAGTGTCAAAAATATTCCAATGTGAAATATATATTTTAATCTTGTTGACATTTAGTTTTTAATACATTGTACAATACTGATGAAAATGTATTTCTTGGTGCATCAACTGGTTCTGGGAAAACAATATGCGCTGAATTTGCCATATTAAGATTATTTTCATCTGAAAAAACAAAAGAATCGTCAGATCAAAAATGTGTTTATGTAACACCAAAAGAAGAATTAGCCGAAATTGTATGTAAACAGTGGACATTTTCTGTAAAAAAAATAAATGTTTTAAATGTTTGTCTGTGTTGTTTGTAGGTACGTGTAGATTGGGAAAAACGTTTTTCGACAATTGGAAAGAAAGTTGTTTTATTAACCGGTGAAACAGCAACAGATTTGAAATTAATTGCAAAAGTAAGATACCAACTTGTTTCTTCTTAATTACTCTAAACTTTCCATTTTAATCTTAAGATGTATGCGTAATTTTTTTAATTTTTTTCATTCACGGCGAGAAAAATAGTCAGTAGTTTTGAAAAAAAGAATTTGGCGAATAGTACCTGATGAAAAAATATAAAAAAATGTGTTCAGATAGTTTAATCATTTTTTCTAACTCTTTCCGATTAAGACGACATTGACAGTTGCATATCGAGCATATGTTCGAGTATTCAAGTACCTCATCCAGTTCAAAATCAGAAAGTTGTGATAGATTTTTAATTAGAATGCTTTTATCTTTTTTGATATTTGAAATAGTGCAGATGATATTTCAGAGTTACTTACGTTAACCCATGATATTATTTTTTTAGGGCAATATTATCATTTCTACTCCCGAACATTGGGACATTTTGTCACGTCGTTGGAAACAACGAAAAAATGTTCAAAATGTTAATTTATTTATTGTTGACGAATTACATGTTATTGGTAGTAATGACGGAGTAAGTTAATTTCTCACTGTTTTATATATTTAATTTAATTCTACATATATATATATATATATTGGTTATTTTAGCCTGTACTTGAAGTGATTTGTTCACGTATGCGTTACATGAGTTCACAAATCGAACGTAATATTCGTATTGTAGCCATGTGTTCATCGGTATTAAATGCCAAAGATGTTGCTCAATGGCTTGGCTGTAGTGCAAATGCCACATTTAATTTTCCTCCAAGTGTTCGTCCAGTTCAATTAGAATTGCATATACAAGTAAATTTTGAAAATAAATCGAATTTAAAAATAAGAATTTTTATTCTTGACTTTTCTTTTTTTCTTTTTTAGGGTTTTAATATGACACATAATGCTAGTCGTCTCATAGCTATGGCTAAACCTGTTTATCATGCAATAAATCGTCATGCAGCAAAACGTTCGGTTATAATATTTGTACCATCAAGAAAATTATCTCGTATAACAGCAATCGATATATTAACATTTGCTGCTGCTGAACAAAAATCTGATCGATTTTTGCATATTTCAGCCGATGATATCACACCTTATTTAGCAGAAATGGAGGATCAAGTAAGTTCATCTTGTAAATAAAACAAAAATAACAACAACAACAACAATAGTTATTGTTTTGTTTATTTAGACATTAAAAGAAACTGTTGTAAGAGGTGCTGCCTATGTGCACGAAGGTTTAAGTGTAAAAGATCGTTCAATTGTCGAACAATTATACAATGCTGGTGCATTACAAGTTTGTGTTGTATCACGTAGTATGTGTTGGGCATTCAGTTTATATTCTTATCTTGTTATCATTATGGATACACAGTATTATAATGGTCAAGAACACACCTATGATGATTATGCAATCTCGGATGTATTGCAAATGATTGGTAGAGCAAATCGTCCATTACAACATGATGATGCAAAAGTTGTTCTTATGTGTTTATCATCTAAAAAAGATTTTTTTAAAAAATTTTTATATGAACCATTACCAATTGAATCACATCTTGATCATGCCTTACACGATCATTTTAATGCAGAAATTGTAACAAAAACAATAGAAAATAAACAAGATGCTGTCGATTATTTAACATGGACACTGTTGTACAGACGAATAACAGAGAATCCAAATTATTACACTTTACAAGGTATAAAAAAGATTCTATTATCTACTGAAAATGTACTTTAGAAGCTTATGTTAAGTAAACAACGTGCAAAATTGAGACGTTAGTGAGTCACATAAGTTCTTCGAATTCGATAGTATTCGAAACAATTTCATTCCATCTTTTAGCGAATATAGAGAATTTCATTAAAACTTAATTGAAAAAAAACAATTCAGAATTGTACGAGTAATTCAGATAGAGATCGAAGTAATAGTTCAGATATCTGTTTTAAAATAATTGATTAGTTTTGCTTATTCAGTATTCTATTTTGTCGTAATAAACAAACTGATACTAAAACGACTTCTGTTTCTGTTTAGGTGTTTCACATCGTCATGTATCTGATCATTTATCAGAACTAGTCGAAAATACTTTAACCGATTTGGAACAATCAAAAGTAAGTTCAATAGAGATTTTTGTGGAGAGTTTTAACTTTCAAACGGATAACTATTTTTTTTACTGTAGAAATGTATGCTTTTGCGTTAGAATCTGTCTGTTCTAACCCTCTATTTTTCTTATTTAGTGTATAACAATTGAAAATGAAATGGATACGTCACCGTTAAATTTAGGCATGATAGCTGCGTATTATTATATTAATTATCGTACCATTGGTGAGTACATATTTCTAAAACTTTTAAATATATTGCTGACTTTTTTTTGTCGGGTCTTTCAGAATTGTTCAGTAAATCGTTAACAGCCAAAACAAAAATAAAAACATTATTAGATATTATTGCAAATGCTGCTGAATATGAAAATATACCAATTCGACATCATGAAGATAATATTTTAAAACAATTAGCAACACGTTTACCAAATAAATTAACCAATGTTAAATTTAATGATCCACATGTGAAAGCAAACTTATTGTTACAAGCACATTTATCTCGTATACAATTATCAGCTGAATTACAAAAAGATACCGATGATATTTTAATTAAAGTAATATTTGAAATAATTGTTGATACTTTTGTTCTTAAATTACTAAATTATTCTTTCTTTTATTCAGGCAATTCGTTTGATTCAAGCATGTGTTGACGTACTCAGTTCAAACGGATGGCTCTCACCAGCGTTAGCTGCTATGGAATTGGCTCAAATGGTGACACAAGCAATGTGGAACAAAGATTCATATCTTCGACAATTGCCACATTTTACAACAGAAATTATTCATCGTTGTACAGAAAAGGTATGTTAGGAGATTTTAATAGTCGGAAGTATATACTCCAAAACTAGAAGACGCACTCTATAGAAACGCACTTTTAAATCGTAATCATGTTTTTTTGGATAATCCATAATTGACTTTGATTTTTTTGTTTTAGAAAATTGAAAGTGTATTTGATCTGATGGAAATGCAAAATGATGAACGAGTTTCTTTATTACAACTTTCTGCAGCTAAATTGACGGATGTTGCACGGTTCTGTAATCGTTATCCAAATATTGAACTATCCTATGAGGTTGTTGATAAAGATAATATAGCAGCGTCAAGTGCAGTTAATGTTAATGTTACATTGGAACGATCAGATGATGTTGTTGGACCCGTGATTGCACCATTGTTTCCACAAAAACGAGAAGAAGGATGGTATGTTTCCATTTTTCTTTTTATATTTTCTCTACTATAAACATTATTCTGCTTCTAGGTGGCTTGTTATCGGTGAATTAAAATCAAATTCATTAATATCCATTAAACGTTTAACATTACATCAGAAAGCTCAAGTTGTTTTAGATTTTGTAGCACCATCACCCGGTTTACATCATTATGTACTCTATTTTATGTCGGATGCATATACTGGCTGTGATCACGAATACAAATTTGATGTTGAGGTTCACAAAGGTGTTAGCAGTAGAAATAATGATAATGATAACGACGATGAAATGAACTAAATTTAATTTTCTATTTGCATGCAAATGCAGAACTGTCTTGTATCTTACAATTGAATCCATTTATTGATTCTTTATCAACTTTGTATTTGTAAATGTTTGTTGTTCGTGTCTTCGTGTATTTTCATTCTTAGTCAAAATAAAATACAATTCACAGTGTTACTGTAGAAAAACACATAATCTCCCTCAAGTAAATGACAGTTAAGACTTATTTTGTGTAGTTGATGAGCCAATGTATATTAAACGGAATATTTTAAATTCTGTGATTAACTGTGCGGATGCAACAATTAAATTTTGAATGATCGATGTCAATGTTAACAAACTCAAATCTAATTAATGTCTGATTGTTTAGAATTTAATGAAGCGACTAAAAATAAAAGTATTATGTGTATCATTGGAGAAGATAACATGAAAGAGGTTAAATATAATTTAATTAACACGTTGGCTGCCACAGTAAAAAAAACAATGCCAGATGTATCACCGGTGATGATACATTGGCAGCCAACGTGTTAATGGTGATGATGATGATTGAACGCGTGAATGGATTGACAAATATAGATGACAAAAAGAGAAACTGTTACAAAAGTCAAATATACTCGTTGCATGATCAACACTCAATACTCTCCAATTTATATATAGTGACCATCGATATACATGAGAAATAGTCATTAACTGAAGAAAATATTGATTGTGCCTATTGATTGATCGATCTTCTTTGGAATTTCGACAAAAGTAGGATGTCATTTGGAATTTCTGCTTTTGCAGTAATTTTTTTGGAATTTCGCCCGAATTCTCTACTTTTGATCGAACTTCCAAAAGCAGATGGGCGAGTTTACCGTAACACCGTTCAATTGAAAAGTGGAAATTACTACCACTTAAATGATTGAACAATGAACGCAGCTAGAACACTGAACATTTCCCAGCCATGATCATTCACAACTGCAAACAGGATTCCTCACTCACAGTTCCAACTTTTAAAAAAAAATCTCGAATAAGTATCGAGTGTCCCAGGTAAAATGGCCCTTTTTTGTTTTTGCGATAACTCCATCATTTTTTGTGCAATCTGCTCAAACTTTTTTAAACGATGCGCCACTTAATTCTCTACAAAAACATGCGTCACCAATTTTCTCGGAGTAGAAATTCTTAGAGTTATAAAAGAAAAGGTGAGGACGTGTAAAAGTGCCAACTTTCTAAGCCAGAGTTGCCGCACTTTCTTTGGCATTTTCGGCAAGTGAAACCACTGCTTTAATTTATGTTTGTTTCTAGTACTTTAAAGTATGCCCTTTCTGATGGCCTACCAGTAACGTTTGTTGTCCACTTAGCTGGCTCAAAAAGTCAAGATTTTTTGCAAGTACCAAAAAATTCGGCTTTTTTTACAACCTGTGTCAAATAGAGTAGACATGCGGTGTGCCAAATTATCAAAAGCGATTTCATCGA